CAGGAATTATAAAGACTGTTTGATTACCAATGTGTGCACGATAACTGAGGAAGGGAAATGAAAGGGCTTTGGGGATAACACAGGGTCCTTGCTCAGCAGACCTGAGCTTTTTATTTTTCATGCCCTGGAATCCATGTGAATGTAAGTATTTGCAAGAATTTGGAAATATGTAATTTTCACTCTTGGATAAAACGAGGGAAAAGTCCTTCAAAGAAATCTCATCATCAAGCTTTTTATTCCAGTTCTTGGTGACAAATCTTTGTTTCAGTTTTGAAGTTTTCTCTGGAAGGGTTATTTATTTTTGAGTAACAGACCCACAAAGAACCTCCTTCTTCCCTCTTACTTTTAAAAAAATATGAGAACTAATATTTTGCTAAATGATCTGAAGACTCATGCTCACCTGCAGGTAATATAACACCTTAGAAGTTGTTTCTCATTAATATATCGGCTAAAGAAAGACGTGACTGAGTTGCTGTGTAGCAAGTGAATTTTGATTTTATTCACTTCTTGTTTGCGTGTGACACCAGGCTTGTGTCCTTGGCACTGTTCCCTACAGAGTTACACCTTGCCAGGTGGCCCAGCTGCCCTGGGCATGGTGCTGCTCCATAGCTCCATGGGCTGCGCACGCTGCATCTTTGTGTTCTCCCAGTCCCTTCTCCTGCCATGCACCTTTTGGGACCTGAGTTGCTAATACTGCCCGTTAGTAATTCAGTGGTTCCTAATATCTTTTTCTTTTCCTACCAGCAAACTTTTTGTCCCTTTGGAACTGTCTTTCTTCCTGAAAGGTTTTTCCTTCTGCAGCTGCTTTGCAATGCCTGTGCTCATCACATTCTGCCTTTTATTCCTGGCCACCTCCTTTTCACCCATGCATAAGCCAGTTGCCTCAGTACTCCCTGAAGTGGGCACCTTGCAACAGCAAGGCCTCCACACACTTCAGAGCCCTGCTTTCCTCCATGCTATCTCTTCCTCTGAGGCTGCTCATCCCTTTAAAACAAACCTCTGAGCAGTCTTAAAATCTGGCAGAGATATATTTTCCCTCCCCTTTCCAGTGGCTGTACTTACGACGGCATCATGCACGGCCAACATCATGACCCCACTGTGCAAATCAAGGCTGACTTGCTGCCACATCTACATTCTAGGTTTCTTCCTTCACAGGGTTCACTTGTGACCCTGCTGCAGCTTGAGACAACAGGGGCTGCTTACTTAGCTGCTTCAGTTCACTCACGGTCATGTTTCTTTTCTCCTAGTTTCTTGAGGAGGCCTCCCAGAGCGGTAGCCCAGCAAGTCAACGTATGACTCTTTGTGGACTTGCTTCCTAGTGTTTTTTTTTGTTGTTATTATGCGAAACATAGTGATTCAGAAGCATATGGCAGGACAAATTAAAGAGAGATGGTTAATCCAGGGTTTAAGCTCCACTTCTGAATTATGCTGATTTTGTGTAGTTACACTAAGGTAGTCTTTATGCAGACAGATAAATTTCAGGAATCCTCTTTGTTTCAAGAAGTTAACCTGTGTCCCAACACAAAAGATAACAATTAGAGCAGCAATTCTCAAGTTGGGGTCCACCAAGTAGAGGTGAAATACAAAAGAAATACAATAGCACTTTGTAGGGCACTTCAATTGCAGCAAGTAATAAGGGAGGGTAGCTTGAATTATAAAGAATTAATTACCCCTTACAGAATATCTAATACAGTTCTGTTTACAAGAAAAAAACACACCTGCACTGTGTTGTAAGTCTATTTTTGCTTTCTGAGGTGGCTTCTAACATTTGCAGATGCGTAAGCTGAACTGTTCTCCCAATTCAAGAGTGTGACTGATGCATCAGGATAGATAGCATGAGGCATGCCAAGGGCACTCCTCGGGGCACAGGACATGCTTAATGTCTGAGGGACTGGGCCTCTCCCTTCCTGTGTTACCATTATGCTCACTTGGAAAAAACAGTTGTTACTTTAAAGGCTAGAGAGATTTGAATTGGTTTGTTTTCCATTAGGAATAAATTAATAAAAACAATTAAAATTTTTCATTTGTTTGCATATTCCGATGTACTAACAATCAACTAAATCATGTAAAAGCCTTAATTCAGCATATAATTTAAAATATGTGGCTAAATTTAACCACAGAGCAGTTTCACCGAAGTAAGATGAAAGATAACCTAGCATATAAAAAATAAAACTGTAGAAAGGAAGTTAACAGCTTCAGGTTTTCCAGATGTCTGCTAGGCTTGTACAATTAAAAATGCAACTGAACTGCTTAATGGATAAGACAGTGTTTTCCAGAGAAGACAAAGAAGACTAAAGATATACTACTATATTCATTTTTTTTTTGCTTTGTTTCTCTCATTAAATAAAAAAATGTATTGTTTTAACCTCTGACTCTAAATCCTAGCTGCATTTGTGTAAAATAAAATGAATCAAAGAGAGCTGCAGGTAACCAATTTCTTTAAGATGTTCCAAACAACCTTTTATTGTGTTTAATTACGAGAATATGAGAATATTTTACTTATTGCAAAGTATCCTGCATGATGCAGGTGCTCTGCCATAAAATTTTCCCTCTCGCTTATAATTCAGTCATTCTAAATTTAAAATACCATTATACAGTACTAAAACCTCCAATTGAAGTTTAATATAAAAATATCAGCACAAAACTCCTTTTTAAAGTCTGTTTATTGTGAGCAACCCAAGTTCCTATTTAATTACTAGCTGTAGTATATTAATAGACTTTGCACCCCTACAGTTGCTAATTCATATCATCTCAGGTATTTTGATGAGATAAGAAATACTAAGTAAGAAAACAGTAAGTATTCAAAGGGTTAATTTGCTTAGAATAATAATAATAATAAATTAGCTTTTTGCGTCTTCTTCAGTTCAAAATCCAGCTTTGACACTGAGGAAGGCTTCCAAATCACATCAGTTAAATAAGAGTGGTCCTTTTAACCAGTAGCAGTTTGATTGCCGATGACTCGAAGAATCTCTTTATGAATGCTTGGTTCCTGTGTATTTATACTTGTATCACCCACTTGACCATCTTCATAGCTAAAAAAGAAATACAAAAATAAAATCAAATTAGTGTTTTATTAATCTACCTAAAACCATCCCAAATTCTGTTTCATTCAATAATCAAGAGTGCTTACATTTCTACTTAAATGCTCTGCTGCACTTCACCATTACATGTAAATCCTAAACTCTAGAGAGTGAAGGGTGGAAAGGCTGCCATTCTCATGGAAACCCTGAAGCTGAATAAGCCATTAAGACCCAAAAGGGACAAGTCATAGGTGAGAGGGGAAATGCCCACTTCATAGACAGGAGGCCTTTAATGAATTCTTCAGCTTTAAAACATACAGCCAAATAGAAATGATATTTTACAATACGTGGATAGACTTATGGTACCATGATGTAATGCTATAGAATGGGAAAAAGTGAACTCTCCATTGATTTATTCTATAACAAAACATATAGTAAACCTTTGTCACTAGTTTATTCATGCAATTCCTAACAGAAGTAAGCACAGATACTCAGACAGATAAAAAAATGAAGTGATACTGAAAAGTATTAAGAAGAAAAATCTTTTACACACTTCAGTTACAACTGTTGGAGGGAACATGGGGAAAAGGTCTAGGATGAACAGAAGTCGAACGTTAAAAGAAGCTGTGTACTCACACAAAGAAAAATCTTGTACACACGTGATCCGTATTGGGAACTACCCATATCTCCCCATGTTTGTGCAGATCGGATGAGGTTATCACTATGAGGGAAAGAATAAATTTTGTAATGAAGAACACATGCCTGGAAAATACTGCTTTAAAAGATTTGCTTTTTTATACACTTTCAATAGCCTTCTGGGAATAGTTTTCCACTGCATGTCTGTGGTGTGGCATAGACACAGTCAGTTCACTGCTAGTACAAACAGGGAGATGAACTTGATTCTTGCTTTCAAAACATATTTTCCAGAAAACATAGACATTTGTTTTATGACAGCCAGTTGTTAATTGGAATGAAAAAGTATATTTATATAAAAAAATATTTTAAATGGCCGCTGGGCCATCTGAGTCAATTAATCTGAGTCAATTAATCAGCCTTTGGAACAGAGATATGTCTGTTTGATGATGACTGTGCCAAAAGTAAGGCATTAAAGACAAAGCGTGAAACTGAGATACGACAAATTTGAGCTTTGCAGCACTACCAAATATTTTTTTAAAAAATAAGTGTAGCAATTATGACTCAAGGAGATCATGAAGCTTGCCAAAAATCGCTCAACTTTTAGAAAATGGCAATGCATTTGATGACACGTTGTTTACCAGGAGAATGAGGACAACACAGGAAAGAAACCCTTTTATTGCCAGGTAGAAGCCATACCATGAATCTGCATTTGAAAATATTTCTATAAATGCACTTAAACAGCATGCAACTGGGTAAGCTGTCCAACTGTGGGATGAGTGGGTTCACAGGGTGAAGAATTAGTTGAAGGGCAGAGCTCAGTGGTGAATGGGGCTACACACCTGGCTGATGACTGATCACCAGTGGTGTTCCTCAGGGATCAATTCTAGGGCCAGTTCTGTTCAATACATTTAACAATGATCTGTATGCAGGAGCTGAACGCACCATTAGCAAGTTTGATGATGATACCAAACTGGGAGGTGCTGTGGGCTCTCTCTTGAGGGACAGGAGGCCTTGCAGAGGGATCTTGATAGACTGGAGCACTGAGCGACAATTCATGAGATGAAATTTAATAAATTGGAACGCCAGACACTGCACCCAGGATGGAGTACTGCCAGGCACAAGTATAAATTGGGAAAGTAGCGGCTGGAGAGCAGCCCTGCAAAAAGGGATCGTGGGCTTGACAGCAGCTCAACAGGAGTCAGTTGTGTGTCCTGGCAGCCACGAGGGCAAAGCCCAGCCCAGGGTGCATCAAACAGAGTATGACCAGCTGGTCAAACCAGGGGACTGTCCCACTGTAATCAGCCTTGGTGTGGCCTCACCTGGAGCACTGTGTGCAGTTCTAGGCCCCACCATTTAAGAAGGGTGTGAAGATCCTTGAATGTGTCCAGAGGAGGGCAACAAAACTGGTGGAAGGGCTGAAAGGAATGTCCTGTGAGGAGCAGCTGAGGACTTTGGGATTGTCTAATTTGGAGAAAAGGACCGTGAGAGGCAACCTCATTGCTCCCCAGAGCTTCCTGAGGAGGGAACATGGAGAGAGAGATGCTGATCTCTTCTCCCTGGTACTCAGTGATAGAACTAATGGGAAGTGGTCAAAGCTGCACCAGCGGTGGTTTAGACTGAACATGCTGCTTTTCTTTCTTTTCTTTTTCTTTTCTTTTCTTTTCTTTTCTTTTCTTTTCTTTTCTTTTCTTTTCTTTTCTTTTCTTTTCTTTTCTTTTCTTTTCTTTTCTTTTCTTTTCTTTTCTTTTCTTTTCTTTTCTTTTCTTTTCTTTTCTTTTCTTTTCTTTTCTTTTCTTTTCTTTTCTTTTCTTTTCTTTTCTTTTCTTTTCTTTTCTTTTCTTTTCTTTTCTTTTCTTTTCTTTTCTTTTCTTTTCTTTTCTTTTCTTTTCTTTTCTTTTCTTTTCTTTTCTTTTCTTTTCTTTTCTTTTCTTTTCTTTTCTTTTCTTTTCTTTTCTTTTCTTTTCTTTTCTTTTCTTTTCTTTTCTTTTCTTTTCTTTTCTTTTCTTTTCTTTTCTTTTCTTTTCTTTTCTTTTCTTTTCTTTTCTTTTCTTTTCTTTTCTTTTCTTTTCTTTTCTTTTCTTTTTTCTTTTCTATTCAGTTTTTACACAATTTACTCAGTGAATTGTATTTTTTAACAAACATTTATCTCTTGTACTTATTATTTTAGAAAATCTATATTAATCACCTCCCCAAAGCATTTCTTTTCATGAAAAATGACATGCATATTAATGCTGTAACATATATTTTGCCAAATACCTAAAATTCACCCTTATAAAAATGACAATCCATTAGTGAGTATGAGGAATGTAGACATGAGTGAAAAAGTCCCTGTGAAGGCCAAGTGTATTTTAGAAATCTCTAAATTTGCTTCATATCTTCTGAAAATTCTAGAACTAAACTGAAGTATTTTTCCTTTCAGTTGCAATTTCGTGTTGACTGACACCTCCTTAATCATATTAAATATTTCACTTGAACAATCTCAAAAATATATGTTAAAAAGTAGCATACACAGCTTAAAACTCCCTTTTGAAATAACATCTTTTTCATCACCTGCCTAAATTTTTAGTTTGAAAAATAAACAAATGCTCAGAATGAAGGGCAAAGTGAGTTTAACATAGCTTCTTTTTGTTAGGCCAATGAGACTACCAATTACTGGTACAATTATTTTTCAAATTCAGTCATTCTTTTTCCTCAAAATCTGTTGAGGTTTCAGTAGTTATGTGCATATGATTATTCAGCATGTATTACAGGTTTTGTTTGAAGAAGGAAATGTTCTGAACCGAAATATAAAGGTCAGCTGTTCAGAAAGTACTAGTACACCTACCAGTAGTCTGCTACCTATAAAAAACCAATACTGGAACTAAAGGTCTCATGGATTTGCATCTAGTAACACTGTGTCCTTGGCTAAAATGGTTATTCAAGGGCTTTCGGCTTACCTTCGCATAAGGCTATGCATTTTAAGTTACGGCTTTGCAAAAATTGTGACTGTTGTCCTTTCTTCTGTGACTGAGGCATAAAAATGTAAGAAAACTTAATTAGTGCAATAAGACAAACTGAATGAAAAAGTAATGATTGCTGCTATTTTCAGTGGTTTATTAATGAACAAACATAGAAATAGCCCTCATAAAACATTTCTATTGTATTTTTAAATGTTACAGAATTTCAAAAACATTTATGTAATTTATTTGCATTATTGTAGGAAAGATCTGAACTCCTTTATCCAGAGAGCAAATCCCTGGTTATTACAGAATGAATAGTATTATTAGAAATATCTGAGTGTCACTGGTAAATCAATTTGTTTGGTAGCAGAAAAAGAAAAAAAAAACCGTGAATGTGATCACTGATTCTTTGGACACTGATATTTTACCAGTCCTTCCATTTCTGAGGACTTCTGCTGTTACATACTCTTCCCTCAAAAAAATACCCAGATTATTCTGTAGTTTCTATGTGTTAGCTATGGAGACAGATCTTTTAGAAGATTCCCTTCTGAAAACTGAACCCTACACATAAATTTGCTTTAGATAAAGCAGAATTGTAATGGTTTAATAGGTAAAAACCACAGAAAAAAAAACACAAAAAAACTCCCAAATGACTTGCTATAAATGAAATGCTACTCATTTTCCAGCAATAATCACTCTCAATTCCTTTTACATTATTCTTCTGCATGTCTAGAACTCAGAAAAAAAGGGCTCGCTAAATGTCATAATGCAACCTGTATTTAATTTTCATTCTATTCCTAAATTCTTCTGGTTGGAAAAGAAGAGCACAAGACCTGCAGCATACTCTGTAAATTGTTACTAAAAGCAGTTGGCCTGTATTTGATGTTTGCAGTCACTTAAGCTGTTGATTTGTTCAATAAAATAAAACTGTTAGCTTTCACAAAAGGAACATTACCTCCTTTTCAGCTATAAAGTTCTCAAGCCACAAAGCCATAAATCTTCCAGAGATGGTTGATGTACTGTACCTGTGATGTGTTACTGCCCTTACTGCCTGAAGCTGGTTCATCTTTAGCTGACACCTTCTGCTGCTTCTTGTTCATCCCTAGGAATATTAAAATCATATAAGACACCCTAGCATATAAATACCGTAATAAACAAAGCTAAGTACAGAGAATGAAACATGTAGCACAGTGGGAATTGCAGTTCTTTGCATGGCACCCAGAAGGCTAACTAACTTTGTCATGGAATATTTCAAAATTGCAAATTACCAATACATCTGCATGTGTTGCAAAGATCTCAGGAAGGTCAAGTTAGCATTAAGTAGGTGCAAAAGCAGATAAACATGAGCTAAAATGCCACTGAAATGCCCTTGGCTGAATGCTTACCAAGAGTTACATGTCAGCATGTCTCACCCTATTAACGCTGAAGCAACACAAACTATCCTGGGTAGGATAGTAAAATCACAAGAGAAAGAACTTTATATATTAATTTTTAACACTATTTAGGCTTATTAAAAGTGTAATTAATTCTTAGGAGTATTTAAATTATTTAAAGTCTTAAAGTCTAACTTGGTTTAACTGATTTACCTACATGTAAAAGTATTAAATTATTTGTCAGACACCTTGGACCCAATTTCCACCTCAGAAATCTGAAGATCTACATTTGTGCATTATATCTATTATATTTTCCTTTTGTTGGCTTATACAAAATTCCTGTATTGTATGCTATTAGAGGCTTCCTTGCCTTTCCAGTATCCCGTATTTCTTGGCAGTTTGTAAACAAAGACTGAGTTATGGGGAAGTTTAACTCTTTGAAGGAACAGGCAATGTCGGAATCCTCTGTGTTGTTTACTGGCATCAAGTACTATATTTCATAGGAACTTTCTGGATGAGACTGGACAGAAGGGACCAAGAAGGGTAGAGTGAAGAAAAAAAAACATATTGAAGCTGAAAAAGCAGCATTGTCCAAAAAGAAGGGTATGTTGCAGGATAGCAATACTGCAACCTGCATTTTTAGTGAGTCTTAAAAAGCTTCCATACTCACGTAATCTCTGAAAAGCTAAACATGCATTTACTGATATTGAAATTTAATATATAACAGTAAAAAAATTGAGCTCTTAAAATGAACAGTGACATTACCTAAAAATATTGAAAATCAGAAAGCATAACTAAAATTCTCAGAATTATCTTTAAGCACAGAAACACTAATTCAATTACACCAGTGCTTTTGTATGTGAGGAAATGGTAAAAACAACACCTAAAGGAAAAAAGTCACCATTCTTTAAAATCTCTTACGTTTCTTAATATACACATTGGTGTATCTTACTCCTGTTAATGTTCCTATTTATGATTCCATTCTTATATAGAAAACTCTGCATGGCTCACTTTTGGATTTATTAATGGGACAAATTACTTTCCCTCCCCTTCTCATGCTAAAACAAATACACTGACCTGTACTTTCTGTATAATCTTTACAAGGTGACACTTGGAATTACTTAAATATACACAACTGAATGTGTCTATCGAAGATTTGTTCTGTCAGATCAGGTCACAAAAGCACATGAAACCACAGATAAATGTTAGAGGGACTTAAAGAGATACTAACAAAAACCCACAAAAGTGATTTCCACTGCATAAGCAAGACCTGCTCCATAACACAAAGCACCCAATATCAGCTACTGTTTACTTCCAGCACAGTTTCAAGATACAGAGCACCTTGGAAAATGAGGACAGGTATTTAATAAGGGAATTTAGATTTTCCTTTTTCTGAATAAATTAAATCTTGGTCAACAAAGATAAAATTTAATACAGTGTTGGAAACAGTGAAGCTGTTAAGAAAAGCAGTAGCTTAAGATAACCCCCTATATTTCTCCAACTTTAGAGTGATTTATAAATATCACCTGAGTAACCAAATGATATGCTTGACAATGGACTAAGGTAGATTCCACTTCCAAACATTGCACCATGGAGCTGAAACAGAGAAGAGTGATTGTTTAACATTAATTTGGTTATTTGGACAAAATAATAATGATAGGAACAGGTAATATAGAAAAGCATCTGTCCCACTGCACTAATTTATAGCATGTGCTTTCAAAGTAGTCATTTAAAAAATCATGGTGTGAATATACAAATAGAAGTCTGTATATTCTGGAAACTATGTTCAAATACAATTTTACAAGAGATTTATATATAAAGTTGCATTTTCTTTTATATCTAACATCACCATGGAGGATGCCTATGGAAGGTGCTTCTGTACATGGCCATATACCCCTGAGCCTGGTCTCCATCTATGACAAGGTGACCTGCTCAGTGGACGGGGGAAAGGCTGTGGATGTTGTCTACCTGCACTTTAGTAAAGCTATTGATAACATTTCCCACAGCATTCTCCCGGAGAAACTGGCTGCTCACCACTTGGATGGTTTTGCTCTTCACTGGGTGAAAAACTGGCTGGATGGCCGGACCCAAAGACTAGTGGTGAATGGAGTGCAATCCAGTTGGTGGCCAGTCACAAATGTTCCCCAGGGCTCAGTGCTGAGGCCTGTTCTGTTCTATATCTTTACCAATGATATAGATGTGCGGATTGAGTTCATCACCTCTAAGGTTGCAGATGACATCAAGATGGGTGAGACTGTGATCTCCTTGAGGGTAGGAAGGTTCTACAGAGGGATCTGGACAGGCTGAATCAATGGGCTAAAGACAATTGTATGATGTTCAACAAGGCCAAATGCTGGGTCCCGCACTTGGCCTACAACCTGGGCGTGTTGGTGGACAGTCAGCTGAGCATGAGCCAGCAGTGTGCCCAGGTGGCCAAGAAGGCCAACAGCACCCTGGCTGTATCAGGAATCGTGTGGCCAGCAGGACCAGGGCAGGGATTGCCCCACTGTACTCGGCACTGCTGAGCCTGTACCTTGAACCTTGTGTTCAGTTTTGGGCCTCTCCCTCCAAGGTGAGAGGTACTGGAGTGTGTCCAGAGATGGGCAACAAAGCTGGAGATGAAGGGTCTCAAGAACAGGTCTTATGAGGAGCAGCTGAGGGAACTGGGGCTGTTTAGCCTGGAGAAAAGGAGGCTGAGAGGAGACTTTATCACTTCCAACTACCTGAAAGGAGTTTGTGGACATGTGGAGGTTGGTCTCCTTTCATGTAGCAAGTCATAGGATGAGCAGAAATGGCCTAAAGTTGCACCAGCAGAGGTTTAGACTTGATGTTATGAAAAATGTCTTCACTGAAATTGTTGTTAACCACTGGAAGAGGCTGCCCAGTGAAGCTGTGGAGTCACCAACCCTAAAGGTATTTAAAAGATATGTAGATGGGGTGCTCAAGGACACGGTTTAGTAGGGGACTTTGCATTGTTAGGTTAATGGTTGGAGTTAATGACCTTAGAAGTGTTTTCCAATGTAAAAAAATCTATGATTCTACGTGTTTCACACCAAAACCTTAGCAGGAAGCACATCCCAAGCCAGTATCTGCAAATCAAGAGCAGAAACAGCTGCTTTTCTGTTCTTTAAAGGAAGAAACAAGGAGATGGTGATGACACTGGCCATATGCTGTAGAAAAATTTAGTGACTAGTTCAATCTGAGCACTAGAGGAATGGTTTGATATACACTTTTGCCTGAGGCAATTCAGAGGTGCATATCGTCATAGAATCATAGAGTCCAACTGTCCCTGAGCACCATATCATCATAGAATCACCTAGGCTGGAAGTGACCTTAGAGATCATTTTAGTCCAGCCTCCCTGTTGCCAGGGACACCACCTGTTGACTAGATCAGGCAACACATGGGGACATATCCCATCACTGCAGGACACCAACATCACTGTTTGATGTCATGAAGCCTGGGCTAAGCAACAAAAGTGAAACCTTTTTATTGGCCCTGCTGTTACTTTCTTGTCTGGAAATGGGAAAGTACGTTTCACTTCTCTACCATGGACAGACTGCTTTATGTGTAACACACCAAATAGTTGTTGGAGCACAAATGAGAACCCTACCTAGGTACATGTTATGAATAGTAGGATTCAGAATTATGCTCAGCCTTTTCTTTTTCCTCTGACCCAATGATATTTATGTTGTCTCTGCAAAATGCCAGAGCTCTCACAGAAATGTTCAAACTCACTTTCACTTGTCTAGATCCTGAAAAGTTGTATAGGATCCTTGGTGATTAGATCTCTTCCCTGACTGATTGGTACTGGGGTAAATTGGATGAACTGTGCTCAGGATATGCCTTAGGTGTGTAAGTGATCTAAAAATGGTGACTTGTATAAAACAGAGCTTTACTGCTTCCTCCTAGTCCAAGTATCTCAACAAAAAAGCATGAACAAAGGGGTTTACTTTGGTGAATTTTGGTGTGTAAATCCTGCTTTATCGGGGAATTATCTTCTGAAGATTCTAGTAAAAAAACCCAACCCACTAAAAGGAACAGCTGAGGTTTCCATTTCCTTTTTTTCATTGTTTTTTTTTGTACCCCAATTCTTAGTCAGCATCCCAGGATTCTCCTCCAAGGTATCACGGACTCACTCTAAGAAAGATGAAAGAAAGCAATGATGCTAAAATACTCTGAATTTCATCTCCCTAGTCCCTCTGGTACTGGCTACTTTGCTCTGCAGGAATGGTCTCCTGATGATTCTGTGCGAAGTGTGCAATAGCTCTCTCCTGGCCAGTACACTCATATTTCCATTCTGAAGGAAACCAGAGGAGAAGATGCTGTAAACCCAGTTCCTATAAAACTAGTATGCTCTTGGATCATATAACACGGAGACAGCTTACGTAGTTCTAAATTTTAAGCCTCAAACTGCTTTTAAAGCAGTACCGAGATAAGCCTCCTGGAGGTGCTGCTCTGCAACCTAAAATTGAAACTGATTCCAGCAATGGGATTTTCTAGCCATTTTAGCACACATTTCATTCTAATCACATCAGATAATTACCTTTTCCAGGAAACAAAAGGGTACTTGAAATTATCCCTTTTTTCCACTTACATGACTACCAGAACCACACAACCTGAAAACTTGCCTAAGCTAGTATGTAATCCTCCTTGCACAGGTTAGCTAAAGTCTATTTGGTTTATTGTTTACCTGCAGCCTCGTATTGGAAGCAACAACTAAGCCGTTCCTCAGGATGGAATGCCAATTTTCAATGTGTGAACCACTGAAAAAATTATAAAAAAAACCCATTAAAATCTGTAGTGTAAAATGAAAAAACAAATACACAGCTGTAAACCTCAAATGGCAAGAACAAAAAAACCAGCATGGCATTTTGTTAACATAAGAATGTATGAACTTACTGAAATGCAAAGGTACTTCCGTAGAGATTTTTAGCAGCTCGGAAATTGGATTCTTTGGCTGGTGGACTGCTGAGAAGTAAGAACTGGTGGGGAGTGTGCATAAACTTTAGTTGCTGTAAAATATAACATTGCACAAGTGAAAAGAAGTTGCTTAGTACAAAAGCATTTCATTTCCATAATGGTAGTTTTTAAGGTACCATGTTGTTTCACGTAATACATGAATGGATACACATAAGCTTAAATTGGCCCAGTTACCATAGTTTTTACCTGAAATCAAACATTAAAAATGTCTTTCAGGTTATGAAACATATGGAAGTTTCTGAAACAGATTTCAGCCTAGTATGATGCTAGTAAAGTAATTAAATTGAACAATTTCATCATGGTATTCTGAGAGCTGGCTTTGAATTAAGATTCAGATTTCAAAGGTTGGAGATCACTATACCTTTAGTCAGAGGATCAGAGACACACATACTTAGAAATGAATCTCAGCACCATCCCTCTAAAATTCAAGAGCTTACTCTTTTTAATGTGTATTCATACGTGTATCTCCTGGCACACTGCGTTCATGTGCACTATTTTCTGCACAGCCCTGTAACAAATATTCTATATGGTAACAAAACAAACAGTGCAGTTATTCAAAGATGACTAAAAAGATGACTACAAGGCAGACATCTGTGTTTGAGCTACTCACCTCAAAGAGGCTTTTTTATGAGCATTACTCCTTTGAACTATTTTAGTTATTTGCAATATGACTCTGAGTGATGACTTGAAACTGCCTCTCTCTCACTTATCTATTAATGGAGTCCATATGATTACTCTGAATGTGGACACCTACGTTTGGCTAGGAAATTCCCACCTAAAATGCTAATAGGAGCCTCGAGAATTGAGAAAATAACAAAGAACCCACAGACACTTACCCTATTCACCGGTAGCTTCACAATATGTGATCTATTACTAGAAATAACCCTAAAACAAGAAACAGAAGTATTAGACATGGTAGCCAAACAGTATTTATCTTCTTAAAAGTATGTTACGAATGGCCACCACAAAGCACACAGCTGCAGGCTTTTAACCTGTCAGATTGAAGTAGACCAAATCTCGACTAGAAAATGAGATCAGAGGCTGTACAAACAAACTGGAGTCTTTCCAGTGTTTCCAGAGGGCCCAGTGAGGTTCAGAAACAGTACGGGAACACCTGCAGCTGCAAATGTCAACCTTGCTGTTAACTCTTGAGTTTATACCAAGTTATACTGGTGAAGTGATTGTTCATAGAACTTGGTGCTTTAATGATTATCATCTCATGTGAGTCACTTTTATACCATTGTAGAAGAGGATGTGCAAGCGGGTCTTGTTTATCCATCTGCTTCTTTATTTCCAAGTAAGGTGCCTAGAAAAGAGCAATTACATTCTTTATTTCTAGTTGAAATCGTAAGGTTAAATTTTATATGTGCCCATGATTTAATCTATTAAAATGAATACATGAGACTCATTATTAGGCTTAAATCACAGTTTTACTGACATTTAGAGCTGTACAGTTAAAAATGTGTCTTGACAACAACAAGAATTAATATAGCAATTATTTTCCCTGGAGTAAAATATTAAGCATATAATTAGCATCAAAATTACTATATTATAGCAAATATTGGTAATCTTAAGGAGAACAGCAGAAGATGTCTATTTATGTTTGTCTCTTGGATTAAGCAATGGGACTGGAACTTCACAAATTTAATTCTCTCAAAATGCCCCAAGATAATCCGCTCCATTTTTTTAACCTTTTCATAGCACAAACTGTAAAAATACTGTATCAGTTTACAATCCCTTTGAAAACCTTTCTCCGTTTCAACTACAGTGCAAAGCCTCCCTTTAAAACTCTTCAGTTCAACAGTAATTTTAACATTTAAAAAAGGCAAAATGGTGATAATTTTTTTTAAAAGACATATTAGGCAATAGAAATATTTGATTTTTATAATTTTTACAGGATGTTTTATTAAGTAACAAAAGCATGTGGATTTTTTTCATTTGTTTTACTCCTCTCTCTACACCTCACTCTTCATTCCTGAATGTCAAAGTAGTTTACAAATACATAAAGAGCTAAGACTTACAAACTACTGTGAGGTTACATGTACATAGCAGCTGGAAAAGCAAGGTACATGGGAAAGATTTCAGTAATAATTTATAATCAGCTGGGCTGTTTGTGAAAGGAAGAGTAACAGTAAAGGTAAGTACATACATCAGATTCTGTCCCACTGCGAATACTGAGAAATCATATGGTATTAATCCCAAGAGACCACAAACTTCCAAGTCCCAAACCATACTTAGCTGATCAAGTGTTTTGCTATGATAGAAATAAAACTGTCTTCAGAACACTGTCACAAAACCCATTTCTTTTGCTTTGGAAATAGAGGACCCAGTTTGTCTTTGGTATTCCAGAAATGGAGCAGTTGGTGATTATCTCATTCCAATGTCCCATTCTGCTGTTATTATCTCTTATTTAAACTTCAGAAGACCTGAGTTCTACTTCATCACTTTTATTTGACTACCATTATGGATACTCTAGGTTTGTTATTTTTAATACACATTTTAATATTATTACAGTCCTATAGGACAGAGATGATACTATTGACTTCCTTACCCATAACAGGCCAGCAATATAAACATCTTCCTAGTTCCAGAAACAGCAATTAAGTTAGGTAACAATTTTTAAACTCACCTGTGTCATCTCTCTAATAGAAGTGATACTATCCAATGCTTTCATGACTCGGTCATAATTCTTCTTCTGGTTTTGCACAAAATAAGCAAATAAATTAAAAGAATATTAGGCTTTAGCTCTACAAAAGCCTGAATTCTTTGAGTGTGTATAAAACCAAAGCTAGAATGAATGTCCAGCAAACCAACCCTTTCAAACATTTCTAACCAACAGCTTTGTTCCATCTCACACATAGACTCATTCATAGTCCAGGAAAATTCCCCAACAAAATATCATGATGATTCTTCTTTGGATTTCACTGGAATCTCCAACACACTCAGTTTTTAAACAACTATTTGTAACCAAACACAGGTTCTGATAGTTATTTGGACAGCATGCCATAAAGTTAAATAATGCAGTGACCAAATAAATTTTAAATAAAATGTGAAATGAACAGATGTGGTTACTTTGCTGAACAGCTCTATAAAACATGAGAAGTCCTTCAGTTGTCCCCTTTGTGTAATCCTGATTCTTGCTTACTTTCTGCTTGGGAACTGTTACCAGATGACTCCACCTTTTCTCAGTGGATGAGCTTAACAGTCCATGCTTTACCAGCTCCACATGTCACATCACCTTCAAGAGCTTCACTGTTCCCCATCTCTGGGTCTTGCCAACTTCTGCCCATGGGTTTTCACCTCACCCATGCTAGGAAGAAGCTTGGAGCCAGCCCAGGGGCTCTCTCGATTCCTCTCCTGGTGTGACCCTCTTTCACGTGCTCTCATCTGCTTCAAACTCCTACCTTGCCTAGACACCAGACTAGTTCTTTCCTCATCAGCCCCCTTCCAAGTACCACCTGGGAAGTCTTTCTTCTCACAGGCTACAGAACATGCTCGCCCTTTCCTGAGGAAGAACCACTGTGAACTGGCCTTTGTTCAGAAAAAATGAAATGATTCCCAGTATAGGGGACCCCTCATTTATGTCCTTGGGGATGATTCAAGAGAGATGTAAGAGCTAGTGGCTTCGTGAGGGCTTCCCTGAAAGGCGGTACCTTAAGCCTGAGGAACACATACTGCAAACACAATTCTTTACTTCAGAATTGATGCTTGTACAAAACTTGACTATTACATCAACTTTTGATAAAAAATACATTTAAGGACATAACTTTGCCAAAAAAAAAAAAAAAGAGATGACTGCAATAATCACTTTAAGAACAAAAAGACAGACTGGAAATTCCCCAGTTTACATGGTCTACACCTACCAAAGGGTATCTTTCTCTTTGTGTTCAATGTGTACACTGAAAGACACTAAGAATATAAAATCTTGCATCTAGAATTTGTACCGTGAAAGAATTTCTTGGCTTCAACATAACTTTGAATATAACTTAGAGTTTACGCTCAAATACCTTCTCAGAGAAAACTAAAATCTTCAAAGCTCTGAAAATAGTCACATGCTTGTTCTACATTTCAGAGCTGTACCTCTTATAGTAAAGCTGAGTCCTCTCCAGAGGAAGGCTTTGCTTTGAAATCTCATGCACAAATAAAACCACACTATGACATAACGAAAGATAATTACTTACCCTGGGGTTAAAGGCTAGCATCTGAGGATCATTAGGATCAACTACAGAAGGATATGGCTCAAAAATGACAACTTTCCTAGGTGACTCTAATGCAGACCGACACATGGATACTAACAGATCAACCACCTAGGGGTAAAGAAAAATATTTACCAAATCCTATCTTCCAGTCTGATTTTTTCTTACACATTATAGTGATATAATCTATATTATTCAAATCGTGTTATCCGCAGGACATAGTTTAGGACTGAAATTTTTCCATTGACCTCAAAAGGCTTCAGGTTTAGCCCTGGTACACTATTCCAGATGCAAAAATAGTATTTGGCCCTAAATGCATTATAATTTCAAGTACATTGCTTTGTCTTGTGCACCTGTGGTAATACCCGGGTTACATTCATTCTCTTAGGAAATGAAGTCATGCTGGATCTGTGCATGACAGTAGACATGAGTGAAAAATTTTGCTCAGGAACGAGGAAAGGTTTGTGAATCTGTACCACTAACTGCTGTTCTGAAGACTGTAATCATAGAAACACTTGTAAACTTTGCTTCTGCTAAAGCCAGATAGTGCAGATATTTAACAATCATCCGCATGGCTCTCACTGGGTGATCTTCTTCCTTCCAACAACACAGCTTTGTGTATCTACGATTTCCAAGATTTCACTGTAAGATCACGTATATAATGCGCACACAAGCACATTTGGGAACAGATTTCTATATAACTGTTTCAAAATTTCTAATTCATAGGCTAAAACCAGAATACAACAATCACAAACCAGCGGAGAATGCAGCTTTCTGGCGGCTGTGAAACCTAAATCCTGCTACATAAAAATGTAGCTTCAATTAGTTCATTTCCCCCCGTTTTCCTGTGCCTTCTAAAAACACTCCTGTGTGAAAACGGACTTTTCCATTAATAGAGCAAAAAGCTGAGATGAGTTCTGCTTGGTAGGCATCCCTCATTCCTCCCACAATTCCACACAGATCAGATTCTCATTTCACAGCTCAAACTGATCTTGAAATTTTTATATATTTGCCATCATATCTGATCATTTGGAGGGAAAAAAAATTACAGTCCTTTAGAGAAGCAGGATGAAAATAAGAATCATGATGAAAAGGAAAAGGAAACTGTGCTGTGGTGAGTCACACTGTTGCCATTCTCCTCCCCTGCTCCTCTAGCATGAATGGACAATTTCTTCCACCAGTTTAAAAAGTATTCTGTTAGTTCCAGTTACTAAATATGTCACATATATTGAAAAATGAAGTTATTTAAATAATGATCCCTTGCTCCATGGGGCTCTTATTACTTTCTAGTTTATGATGCCCGTGAGTGTGGAAAACGTTCCAAAATAGGGAGTCTGCATTAGCATTTGTTAAGGACACCAGGAGTCTGCACACACAGCCAGGTCAGGGGAAAGGCCTGCAACCGTGTAAATGAATTACCATGAAATCAAGCCTGAGTTCACACATTCTGTTTCTCAGAAGCACTTCTTAGCTTCCAGTCACAAAACACTACTAGGGAAGAGTTGTTCGAGTCCCCAAACCTCTTAATACAGCTACTCAAAGTTCTTTAACTTTACGCTTTGCACAACAAGACTTTGTCTTAAAGTTGGCACAGATCTTCTTAGACCAACTAAGAAAAGGCGAGGGTGGAGAGCAGTAGGCGACTCTCTTCTGAGAGGAACAGAGGCAGCCATCTGTTCCCCTGATGCACTCTCCAGAGAGCTGTGCTGCTTGCCACAGGCTTGTATCAGGGACGTCACCAAGAGACTACCAAGCCTCATACAGTCCAATAACTATTGTCTGTTGCTGTTGTTTCAAGTGGGCACCAGCGATACAGCCAGGAGCAGCCTGGGGAGCTTCAAGAAGGGTTACAGAGCTCTGGGAGCAGCAAGAAGGGGCTCTGGAGCACAAGCAGTTTTTTCATCAATCCTTCTGGTCAAAAGGTAAGGAATTTGATAGGGCCAGTCATATTTGGCAAATCAACAGCTGTCTATGGAGCAGGTGCCACAGCCAGGGACTGATGCCACTTAGACCACGGGACTCACTCTGAGTAACCTCGTCTACTGGGGGCTGATGGAGTCCATCTGTCAGAAAAGGAGAAAAGCATCTTCTTCAACCATAGGCTTGCCAAGCTGGTGAAAAGGATTTTAAATTAAATTTGGCAAGGGAGGGACACCACAGTCCATCCCACTTCTAGCATGTTAGTTTGATGCCAGTGGCAGCAACAGATGCGCAGAGCCTGGAGAGGGATCACACAGGTCAGCTGGAGAGAACCTGAAGAGCAGCACAAAGGAATTTCAGTTACTCCAGCCAGTAAGTCAGCTTCATTAGGGGCTCAACTTAAATGCCTCTATGGAAATGCATGTAGCATGGGTGGAGTGTCAGAACAGAAAGGTACAGACTCTTTAGGAAAGACAGGAAGGGGTGATGAGGAGGGGATGTTGCCCTCTGTGTCAGTGAGCAGCTGGAGCTCCACCTGGTGATGGATGAGGAGCCGACCTAGAGCTTATGGGTCAAGATTAAATGGAAGGCAGGGACTGGTGATGTTATAGGGGTCTGCTATAGACCACACCTGACCAGGAAGACTGGGTGAGTAAGGCCCTCTCTAGGCAGAAAGGAGTAGCCTCATGTCCACAAGTCCTGGTCCTCATGGAGGACTTCAACCACCCCACTCTTTCTGTTGGAGAGACAACACAGCAGGGTATAAGCTGTCCAGGAGATTCCTCGAATATGTTGGTGATGACTTTCTTTTCCAAGTGACAGAGGAGCCAACAAGGAGAGGTGCTATGATGGACTTTGTTCTCACCAATAGGGAGGGGCTGATGGGGAATGTGAAGCTCAAGGGAAGCCTTGGCTGCAGCACCTATGAAGTGGTGGAGTTCCAAGATCCTTAGGGCAGCAATGAAGGCATGCAGCAAGTTGGCCACCCTGGACTTCAGGAGAGCAGATATCAGCATCTTCAGGGTTCTGTGTGGTAGAGGGTCATGGGATAAAGCTCAGGAGGAAAGAGGGACTCAAGAAACCTGGGAAGAATACAGAGAAATAGCCCAAGCAGCCAGGCATCAGGATAGAAAAGCCAAAGCCCTGATAACATTAAATCTAGCCAGGGATGTCAAGAGCACAAGAAAAGCTTCTATAGGTACACTGACAATAAAAGGAAGACTAGGGAAAAGGTGTACTATCTTCAGAAGGAAATGGAGATCTGGTTACCAGGATATGGAGGAGTCTGAGGTACTTAATGACTTTTTTGCCTCTGTCTTCACCAGCAAGTGCTCCAGACACACTGCTCGAGTCACAGAAGACAAAGTCAGGTACTGAGAGAATGAAGAACTCTCGACTGTAGGAGAACATCGAGACCATCTACGTTATCTCAAAATATCCACGGGACTCAATGAGATATATCTATGAGTCCTGAGGGAACTGGTAGATGAAATTGCTAAGCCAATATGCATTATATTGGAGAAATCATGGAAGTCTGGTTAAGTTTCTGCTGGCTGGAAAAGGGAAAACATAAATCCCATTTTTAAAAAGGGCAAAAAGAAAGACCCAGACAACTACAGCCCAGTCAGTCTCACCTCTGTGCCTGGCAAGACTGTGGAGTGGGTCTTCCTGGAAACTATGTCAGGACACATGGAAAAGGAGGTGATTGGTGAAAGCCAACATGGCTTCACTATGGGCAAGTCATGTTTGACAAATGTGGTGGCCTTCTAGGACGGGGCTAGAGCACTGGTGGATAAGGGAGAAGCAACTGACATTATCTACATTTGACATGTCACATATGACACCCTTGTCTCTAAATTGGAGAGACATGGGTTTAACAGATGGACCGCTTGGTGGATCAGGAATTGGTTCGACAGCCACACTCAAAGAGCTGCAGTCAATGGAGACCATTATGAGTGGTATTTCTCAGGGGTCAGTACTGGGAACAGTGCTCTATATCATCTTTGTCATGGACAGCAGAATTGTGTGCACCATCAGCAAGTTTCAGACCAGTTATTCAGCCCCTGGAGCTGGAGGAAATGGCCTCAAGTTGCACGAGGGGAGGTTTCATTAGAAATTAGGAAAAATTTCTTTACTGAAAGAGTGGTGAGGCAGTGGAACAGGCTGTCCAGAGAAGTAGTGGAGTTGACATCCCTGGAGGTGTTCAATAAACACATAGTCGTGGCACTTCAGGATATAGTTTAGTGGCCATGGTAGTGTTGGGTTGACGATCCTGGAGTACTGAAGAATTTCTTTCTAAGATCCAATCTAAACCTATTCCTCTTCAATTTAAATCCATTTCCCCTTGTCCTGCCACTGAACATTCTTGTAAAAAGTTCCTCTCCAGTTTTCCTGCAGGTTCCCTTTCAGGTATTGGAAGGCAGCTATTAGGTCCTACCAGAGTCTTCTCTTCTTCAGGCTTGACAATCCCAGCTCAGCCCCCTTGTAGCAGTCCTTGTAGCAGAGGTGCTCCAGCCCCCGGATCATCTTTGTGGCCCTCCATTGAACACACTTCAACAGATATATGTCCCTCTTATGGTGGGGACACCAGAATTAGACACAGTATTCAAGGTGGGGTCTTCAGAGGTTACTGGTCAACAGCTCAATGTCCAGATGGAGATAGTGGTGAGTGCTGTCCCTCAATGATCTGTACTGGGACCAGTGCTGTTTATTATCTCCCTCAGTGATATAGAGAGAGGGTTCAAGTTCATGCTCAGCAAGTTTGCTGATGACACCAAGCTGTGCGGTACAGACAGCATGCTGGAGGGGAGGGATGCCATCCAGAGGCACCTAGACAGGCTTGAGAGGTGGGCCTCTGCAAACCTCATGAAGTTCAACAAGGCAAGTACAAGGTCCTGCATCTGGGTTGGGACAACCCTCAGTATCAATACAGGATGAGGGATGAAGGGACTGAGAGTAGCCCTGCAGAGAAGGACTTGGGGGAACTGGTGGATGAAAAACTGAACGCGAGCCAACAATGTGCACTTGCAGCCCAGAAGGCCAACCATGTCCTGGGCTGTATCAGAAGAAGTGTGTCCAGTAGGTCAAGGGAGGTGATTCTGTGACTCTACTCCGCTCTGGTGAGACTCCACTTGCAGTACTGTGCCCAGATCTGCAGTCCTCAGTGCAGTGTTGGAGCAGGTCCAGAGGAGGGCCATGAAAATGATCAGAGGACTCGAGCCCCTCTCCTATGAAGAAAGACTGAGAGAGTTGCTGTGGTTCAGTCTGGAGAACAAAAGGCTCCAGGGAAGATCTTATTGTAGCCTTCCAGTACTTAAAGGCGGTCTACAGGAAAGGTGAGGACAAATTTTTTTAGACGAGCCTGTGAAAGGACAAGGAGTAACGGTGCTAAACTGAAAGAGAGTAGATCTAAGTAAGAATTTTTTTACAATGAAGGTGATGAAACACTGGCACAAGTTGCCCAGAGAGGAGGTAGATGCCCCATCCCTGGAAACATTCAAGGTCAGGTTAGACTGGGCTCTGAGCAACCCCATCTAGTTAAAGATGTCCCTTCTCATTCCAGGTAGGTGACTAGATGATCTTTAAAAATCCCCTCCAACCAAAAATACTCTATGATTCCAAGCATACAAGTAACACACCATATAACCACCTGAATTAAAAACCCACAAAACACAAACTCTAGCTCCCCAGAAACACACAGCTGAGATCTTCAGAGGGCTTCAGGCTGTAGAAGTGGAGGTTCATCAGCATACCTCTCTCCGTTTTAGCAAGCTTACACAGGTATCCCAGAATTTAGTATGGTATTTGCCACAAACATAGCCATCTAATGATCTTCAGACATGATGATACTCAGATCCTGCAGTCATATTCTCAACTGAAGAATCTGATGTACACTGCTGCAAGTTTCTTCCTTTGAGGAAGAGGTGGTATTCAGGCACTTAGCAGAACAGTTCACTTCCAGTGGCTAGACTCACTAGGGCTATATAAAGTTAACTGAACTGCATGTTTGCTCTTCCAAAAAACCACATTGTTTAGTATGTAAATGACACGTCTAGCAAATCAGAGAGGAATGCACTTTCTGTAGGATGTGTAAACTCTGAAGATCTTAAAAGGATCTTTAACTTTTGAATTCACTGTAATCTAAGGTTAAACGGTGACTTAGAAACATAGCTTCAATACTTTAAGACACATATAAAATTCTGAAAGATAACAATGATATGATTAGAACTACATTAATTGAATCTAGAGTCAGGAAGCAAGCTTGTATTGAATCCCTGATTCTTGAGAAGAGAGGAAAAAACCTTCGTAAGCCATGTCAGTAAGGACTTTCCCACTGTTATTTAATGAACAAAACACCAGATGCTCAGTGGATAGCTGCATCCCAACACCATGAACAGGAAGTGGCTTATTAATTGCATGAGAGTAGTAATGGCTCATTAGGTGAAAATAAATGGGAATTATCTCCAAATGACAATGGCTGCCTTTATTAACAACCCAGGTGACCTAACTGCATACAACAGAACAAGAAAACAGGGTTATTCTAATTACATGGAAGCAAAACAAAGGAAGCACCTCATTAGTACTGTTTGAAAATGCCAAACATAAAATAGTGCATTTATTGCTATAGGAGTGGACAAATAAATAATACTTAGCAAACAGTACTCATATGGGGAATACAAGTGAAAATAAATACTGGAAAAGATTGAGAGGACTGAATATAATATAGAAAATCAGAAAAGTAATAAACATTAGATAATTCTACCTGAGCCCCAGTTGCAATTTCATCAGCAGCTTCGTTCATCACTCCTAATGTTTGGAAAGCAAATACACAGAGCTCCCGTTCACAAACAGTGGGCTACACAGAAAAAGAAAGTTAGTGCCATCTTTGTTCTATTTTGGGGTTCTTGGTTTTATCATGCAATACCAACAACAAAACCCAAACACATTTAATCTTCTATTTTTCCCTCTTTAGGCATTAATTGCAATATTAATTTCAAATTATGAATATATGTCAATTATTGAGGAAGAAACATTAAAGAAGCCTTTTAATAATAGGAAGAAAAGTGTTAAGAGCCTAAAAACATGTAAATACTCACAGAGGCTAAACTTAAAAGAAATCCAAACAGATCACTAAACCAGAACTACAGTCATAGTAACCAAATGTCCTTAATACTACACTATCAGACTCCTAAAACTTCCTACATAATTAAAATTAATGGAGAACAAATACAGAAACTAATGGGGGCAAATCTTATTCATACATGAGGTTTATTTTTCACAGCTTGTTACTCTGCTGTTAAGAATACACATAAAAATCTGATCTAGAAGACAAATTTCTTGAAGAAGCTATTTTTAAGTTAATTTTTAAATAACTTGACAATTTATTTGTGAACGTGAAGACAACGAATTATATTTTAATTTCTACAGGCCCTTCCATAATTCTTTTTAGACGTGTAATAAATTAAAAACCCTTTAATAGTAAAAACCCTTTAACCATTTTTGCTTATATTCTTGAAAATATTAATTTACAATGCCTTCTCAATTACCACATAAAAAACCTTATTTAATCTGCATATTGGAGAATTGAGTGTTCTGCCTTCATAAAGCAAACAAAGCAGAAACAAAAAAGAACATAGCTTTAAGTATAGAGAAAAGGCATGACTTCATAGGCTTCCTAATTGGTTAGAACCCTTACAGCAACTCAATGCTTATTTACTGAAAGATAATTAGCAGATCAATTTTTTAAAGGCTCAAATAAAGAATTACACAGTGAAGAGTTATAAGCATTCAAAACGAACAATCAGCTGAAAGAAGCATAAGAAAGAAACACAAATTAAAACCTTCCTTAAAATTGACCCCAATAAACCTAACTTTTTCAGAGAATGTTGAAAACAATCAAAAACATTTTTTGTATACTGTTTCTCTGAATCCATGTCTCACTGAACCTTTGTTAGGAACTACTTAACTTTTGTAACTAAGAAGTCTGACTAGCTACCATGATAATCACTTAAGCATTTGTAGTGATATGCTTTGAAATTCAAGCCAATTTCTCTAGGAAGCACTTGCAGAAATGAAAAAAAATTATTGAGCACACAAAGAAAATATAAAATTTAGCTGAATTCTGTTTCAGGCAACAGCTTTGTCAGTAATATGCATAATGCTGTATTTGTAGTCATTTGTTTCAGAGCCCTTAAAAAAAGCATTTCCTGTGTTTCAAAGATTCAAGACTTCAATAAATATCTGAAATCTACTGCATTGTCATATTCTCACATTAGTTGTTTTACAAGAGCTAACATCTTTCAAGTCTAGTAGTGTCACCCATTTGATTTATTTTATCTGCTATGCTACATTGCATTAGGCAGCAGATGAAGCCTAACATGAACCAATTCACTGTGCCATGGCATGCTAGACAAACAACTACTTATTATTGTCATTATTCTTAGATTTTCTACATTTAGAGGGTGATTAAACCATTTGCTTAGTTGCAGAAGCAAGGTGGTACTACCACCTTGACTATAATGATCAACAGTATACACAGACTTTTATTCCAGAGCAGGCAATTAATTTTTTTTTAAGTCTTGAGCTTAAAAGATGGCAAAGAGAACACAGAATTTGTCAACTTGCTCCTTTTTTTTTTTTAACTGCCTCAATTCCAGAAATGTCTGATCATCTGGAAGAGGTAAGTTAGGAAAAAAGTAATTGTACTTATGTTTGGCATTGCAAAGACCCTTCCTCTCTCATGTTGACACTGGAGCTAAGATCTTAAAAGATGGAGAACCCTAAATAAGAGGAGAAGCAAGACAGCTCTAAAGAGGTAAAACTATTACTGTTAGAGTCTGTATAGTTCTCTTCATTTTATATATATGATGAGCCTTTAAGCCCAATAAATATACCAGCTCTGCAGTTTAATGGGGAAAATAACACAAACTCTGTAGCTATATGGATACTTCAAGAGCCTGCCTTCACACATCCACCCTACATGTCTTGTAACCCAAAATCCACCCATTTCAAGAATATTTGGATCCTTTTTCTGAAATTTGTCCCAATTAAACAAATCAGATGCTTTTAACTTAAATTTCCCAGAAGCATTAGTAGAGTGTTCCAAGAGATGTTGGTATGGTCTTTTTACTGTCCTATACTCCAGGCATTAGCTAGGTTCATCCATTTAAACTCCTTTCTTTCCCACCAGAATAAAAAGATGAGCTCACAAATAAAAAGTAAATATTTGGATGGTTTGTGCTTGTCACACGATGGTGACTATTCAGAATCAAATTTCTGTATTTCGGGTTTGTGCACAATTGCACATGCTAGAACCAGTGAAAATATACGAAAACTAAGATTATAACTCAATCCTAGAAGACAGAGCTTAAAGAAAATCACAGACTTTACGGGAAAACTGGTATTCAAGGCTGCTTTTACACTGCTTCTGATGTTCTGCATACTGCCAGTGTGTTTCCCTTTATGGTGTCCTCTTGTCTCTTCTCTTGTAATAGAATGTGAGCCCTTGGGACAGAACAGTTTTGCTCTGACTTTGTATTGTAAGTATGAGAAATGTCCCTAGCCACAGTGAACAAACAAGAACACCACCACTAACACACTTATAAACCTGTCATTTTTGGATACTCCTATTTTAGTTTAAGAACACATACTATTCAGGAAGCTGAATTTTCTAATAACTTGTTGTTGCAGGTTAAGGCTGAGCCAGCCACTAAACGTGGACAGGCACTCTCTAACCCCCTCTCCCGCCCAAAACAGGAAGGAAAAAGGGAATGAGGCAGAGAGACTTATGGGTTAGAGAAGAAAAAACAGAACGGCTTTAATGAGACAATAATGGAAATAATAGTGAAATTATAAAAATAAAGAACTATATACAACTATATATAAGCCCAATATCAAACCCAGCGGGTTTTGCAGAGCAGATGGCACTGGGGAAGCCCCAGGCTCGGCGGAGGCGGAAGCTGGATACAGGGAGCTGGATTCGGGAACTCAGGATCCGGATCAAAACCAGGAGATCAGATGGAGTCCTCTCTGGACACTGGCCAGTGCAGAAAAAGGGGAAAAGCTAGAAACTCTCATGATCACTCAGTTTATACTAAATATGATGTACATGGGATGGAATACTCTCGTTGGTCACCTGTGCTGTCTATTACCCCCTGGAGGTGCAACCTTTTACTTCCTTGTGACCCCTCTTACTACCCGGCACCCCCAGCGTGGCACTCAAGAGCCAGCAGTGGCCTTGGGCACTGTAGGAATAAGTATAAGCAAGAGCCTGTCTGCATCCCAGTCCCAGGCAGTAACTGTAAACATCAGGTGTTATCACTGCCAGTAGCACACACTGTGTGGATCCTACTGGTGTGGATCTATATCTACAAAGGTGCAGAATATCCAACTTCTAGTAGATCACTAACTTCCATTGTTTTCAAAGAGAAAATACATGAAAAAACAGGGCTTAAACACTTAAGTATATATTTATGAATGTGAGCCTCATTTTAGGTGCGTAAGGAATTATACAGATTACAACCATCTCCTGGAAGGCATGAGGAGCTGACTAGGGAGGTAATTTTGTCCTTCACTACCTGAAGAGGACGCTGTAACTCCTCTTCAACAACAGCAGCTGTTATTGGACTTACAAATACTTTATTTTTCACGTGAAATGAGAAAATTACATAAAGCCACTGACTTGACAAAACTACTAGCTAAGATCATTGGTGCTGAAAGACTATTTAGAAGGATAATTATTCCAGTGGGGAAAAGCCAGAAGAAAGTAAGAGCTAGGCAATTAACCTGAGACTGCAGATGCTTGGAAGCAGAAGGCACTGTCAGAAGCAGAAAGCATTTTTTTTAACTTTTGAGGTTTTCAGACCTTTTCTTCAGCCATTCCCATTCTTTGCATGCTCAGCAGCACCCACTCAGCTGCTCCTGCGACGAAAACCAGCTCAATCACAGCTTCCACACATTACAGCGCAAGTGCCACCTCTTACAGCAGTGATCGTGAATGGTAGACAGGCAAGCCACCCAGGTACTATGATATATTCTGGTTCCTGGACTCACAGACTACTTAAAATATTTTCCAGACATTCTTTCAATTCAAAAAAACTGAAACTTTCATGGCCAGGATTGATTTATCTTGCTGCTTTCTAATGCTTGCTGCAACTATGCTCAGAAGAGCAATATGCCACCCTTTCCTATGGCCTGAAGGATGTCACACAGACACTAATAAGGCTGCAACATGACTGACACACCTAAAAACTCTTGATCTGAAAGGAGAAGGTCAGAGAAGGCTCATAGCCTGACTTAGAGCAAATGCAACAAATGGTAAAGGTGAAACCATTGGTGACCATCTCACTTCTACTGAAAGCAATGGGCATGGAGGTGAAATCTAACTTCAAATCTCTGTTCTGCTTCCTACTTTAAACCTTGGTAATTGCACAATTTTTCATAGGAGGAACTTCCTTCTTTTCATTACAGCAGAAG